CTATTATCTCAGTTAATTTTGGGTTGTTTTAAAGCAAAAAATACTTGCAAAATATTTTAGATGTCATGGCACAGAACCCCTCCCCCACATCACCTCTTCCAGCCTTCACTCCTCACACCTCCCCTCATACAAACACAACCCAAGTATTAAAAGAGGCACTGTTGTGGTCCACCAATTGGTGATCACTGCTATATACTGTATTGCTGATTACCAACATACAGTACAATGACTTCAGATGATATACAATATACCCCTGTATTTCTGTCTAATAATTGATTTATTTAAGTATTACTTCTTTTATGTTTTTGCTTTATTACTAGCTGTCTACCAACACTGATTTCTTATGGTGCAGTACTTATAACTTTGGAAAAAAATACATTCAAATTAAAATTACAAAAAACTGTAAAACAGGAAGAAACTTCAGTTAAGTACTCACGCTAACAGATCCAGCACATATTGTACGTGATTCCTGCATGGCAATGAGGCTAAAGGCCGTCATGGAGGCATCTGAATCTTTGCCATGCACATTACCCTACATGTGAACATACAACACTAACACGTCAGAGAAAACAAAATCATAATGACCAAAAAATCTAAACATGTTTTTCAGAAATTTCATTACTGTAATGTGAATAAAGAATGCACAGATGAACTCACAATCATTTCTCCGTGGTATACACTTCCAACTTCTCTAAACATGCCATCAGGCTGCTGAGCATTGAGGATCAAATACTTCACAGCACCACAGATATGACTACTTTGTATTGCCACCAAGCTGTTTGCAATAGCAAACACTTTGGTAACATACGATGTCAGCCTAAAGAAGAAAAAGAGATGATTTACAGTAGCTGTAATGTTGTTTATTATTTTTATGTTGAATACGCTTTTCTGTGTATAAATGTTAAGTTGGTTATAATTCTGTAGCCACATTTACATGGACATAAGTAATTGGAATAATCAGTCAATTGGAATAAAAATTGGTCATGTAAATGCCAAAATCAGAATATTCTGATCTGATTCAGGTCAACTGGAATGAATTTGTAATACGAATGAGAGGACTGGTTTAGACCAGCCTCATCTGCCTGATGGAGACGTGGCTAACATTGCTAACTCCGGACTCTCATATAAACATAGAAGATTTTCACTCAATTCGAGCCAACAGAACCAGGGAGTGGTAAGAAGAGAGGAGGGGATCTGGCTGTTTGTGAATGATAGATGGTGTAATGCTGGACATTTAACCATCAAAGAGACGCTCCACAGTAAGGACATTGAACTGTTAGCTGTTAGTATGAGGCCGTACTATCGTCGAGTGTCTGACAGGACTGTTTTTGTAACTGCACTGCATCTTATTGTTATTGCCTTGTACAGAACTGTTTTATTATTTTATTCTATTATTATTATTGCTATTGTTACATAGTAATACAAAGTGACTCAAAATATCTGTTGCTGCTGTTACACCTGAATTTCCCCTCTGCAGGACAATAGAGGCTGTTTCTATTCTATTCTATTCTATTCTATTCTATTCTATTCTATTCTATTCTATTCTATTCTATTCTATTCTATTCTAATTAATTTTATGCCCATATATACGATACATTCAGATTATTTAATTTAAATACATTTCAGACAGATCAAATTATTTTTTGCATGTAAATTTAGCTAGTGAATGGTTACCAGCTGCTACTCGGATGATTAGCCCACACAGCAAAAGACCCATCAGGTTTAAGATACTGCAACTGATGTTGGTAACCTGAAAAAACAAACAATACAAACGTTTTAGTTTGTAAAATAAATAGTTTCTTCCACCTACTCAAAGCCATTTAGARAAAGTTTTTAAACTGAGCAYCWTCACTGTATTTATTTGAAGGAGCCTACCAKTTTTTATGTGCTGGATGGCTTCTGCACGTTTCTGGAAGCCTACAGCTTCCCACTGGTTGGTTTTGTCTAAATATCTGGTTGCAATGACAGGCAGGGTCATATGGATCATGTTCTGCTCTCCACAACCTCCAGGTGCTCTAATCAGTGAACCCATTGATTTTCCAYTGATRGCATTTTCCACCAACCCAGAAACTTGTTCTCTTCCTGCAAGAACAGACACACAGAAGATAAAGTGGTAAAAAAGTAAATAGGAGACCATAAAACAAAAACTCAAAACATCCATCAAATTTAAAATCATAACAAAGCAAAGTTTCTTGTCCAAGTATCAGTAAAGTGTCTCAGATTGAACAKCATTTCTCACCTGTCACAGACACCTGTGTGCTGGTTGGTGAATTTGGAACCAAATCAGTCCTGGGAATRTTGCTGTTTATAATTTCTTCTTGTTTACCATCTAAAAGGAGATAATCATGAGGATTTAGTAGGTTCTATTATATACTGTACATACAGTATAAACTACCATGTATTGTTGGTGTGTAAACATACTGTGGCCTTTTGTAGTTGGATCTACAGRTACAATCTTTTCAGACTGAACCAGTACACCTTCAGGCTACAAAAAGCAAGTTGAGAAAAAAAAACATATCAAAAATTGGATTATTATTTTTGTTTATCCTTTATTCCTACGGGAAAATCTCTTGAGACTCACTGTCTCATTTACAAGAGAGACCTGTTACATTACATTATTAATATCAAATAAACACAGCTTAACAACATCAACATGCGGCGCTTTAGTTGGACACTCAAAACTGAGGTCTTTGTGCTGTATTTATATCACTGATCCTATAGATCATTGGTGTCAAACTCATTTTCACAAAAGCCACATGACCATTGTGGTTGCCCTCAAAGGGCCAGTTGTAAATACATTTGATGTTAACTTTAACTAAACATGCAATATCACATTCCTTATACTCRGGTTTTCGGGTTACTATTTTAAAAGCCATTAATCTTTTTATGGTCTTTCCTAATCATCTCTAATTAGACATGGATAAGCTCCAGTAATGAAATAGAAACATCTTAAGCAACTCAACTCAAGGCCCACCAAGCCAAATGTGACGCAACATGGTATTTTATTTGGCCAGAAATACTTTTACTTTAAAAACAAAATCACTCAACTATTTTGATTTTATTATTTGCAGGTAAATAATGCCGGGTTCACACGACAAGATAATTGTGATGGTATTTGACCCATCATTGCCCTTCTGACAATCTTAAGGAGGCTCCAATTATTGTGATGGCCCTACAGATAATTTTAGGAGATATTCCTGCTGTATGTGGTGTGTCAAGAGTGATCTAGTCGACTCATAAGGAAGTCAAGASTGTTCTGATCCTAAATCAGGTATTTTCAACATGTTGGATTGTCTTGGCCTGACATCCAAGTGTGTGTAGTGTTCCCTAAGGACAAACGAGCTTGCAACCTGCTGAATATGATGTGTAGCCAATCARAAAGCAAAGTAGCACAAACGCAGAGGGGAATCCAAAATATAGAAGACAAAAAAACTGCCATGGCACAACAGGAAGTTAACTGAACGTTGAAGACGTAAATTTGAATTGTGTTTTTTTTTTTTTTTCAGATAAAATAGTTTCACAAAATATGACCACTGCTTCTTCCTCATCTGCAATGTTTATTTGTTTTGAACGTACATTTGATCTTGAGAAGTCTCGAGAGAATTCCTGTCTGAATGTTCACGAGATCTGTTTATCGTCTCGTGTGGGCTCTCTCAGTCTTTGAAAACGTAACTGATAAAATAATTTCACAAACTATGACCACTGCTTCTTCCTCATCTGCAATGTTTATTCACTTTCTGCTTGGCCTTCAGAGGAGCAGGACGTGCTTTCGCTCTCTCTGCCCCTCCCCTCCCTGCTTCGCTGATTTTGCTTTTTCGAGCTCTTTTTTCACCTTCCATCAGAAACTAAAGGAATTATTGATTTGGTCAACTGGACTCTGAATGAAATTGACACTTTTTTTTCTACACTTGGAACAAGGGGAACGTGGCTGTCTCGGTGGAATGGTTGCTGCTGGATTTGTCTGATTCCTGGGGCTGGAATCTGATATGCCAGCACCACTTTCCATTTAAGACATGGAACATCTTTATTTATTTATTTGGATTATGATAACTGGATTCCTGCTGATCGGTGGAGGAGTGTTCCAGATTTATCGAAAAATGAAAGTGAACCTGACAGTGGATCGGGCCTTTGAAGAGCTGTCGGGGGCACAAAGGATTCTGCTGGGTGGTAGCACACAGACTCTAAGCTGGGTGGGAGGGGAAATTGGCAAACTGGATGTGATTCTGATGAGAATCACAGCTCAGGAGCGACCCTTCGGCATGTATGGACTATATCTGGGTGAGCGTCAATCGGTGAGAAGCGAGGAATGACCTCAAATTCAGCTGATTGGCTTTTTTTCGCCACCTCAGAGTTTGCAGAAAAGACACTTCAAAAGCAGCAGGAATTTCAAGGCTGCTTTGTTCCAAAATAATTGGATTAGCTATCTGGCKCCCAGTGGCACGGCCTGGAGGGCAGTGCTTATCTTAACCTCCCCAGTATGGAATGTCAACTAAGAGCTGGATTTGCTCCCACCCCCACCACCCATGTTGGACCCGGCCTTGGAATTCAATTGGCTGAGGAGGAGGAAAATCTCTGAACTCTAGCGAACTTAGCAGAGACAATAACATCATGTGACTCTGGACTCTGGGCCCATCCAGACGGACCCCTCCTCCCTCAACGTCACCCACTCCTCTGAACCCGCCCCATTGTACCTCCTCTTTATATGTTATCTGACCTAAGCCACCGCCCACCCCAGGCTGCTCTCTCACGGGTTGTTTAACTCAATTTTCCTTTTGTGTATTTTAAGCTGTTGTTAAAGGTAGCGCAACTGTTTGCTGCATGACCGATTTCAACTATTCCCCCCATGTTTGTCTTGTATGTTTTCTTGAATGGGTGTTTCTTAACTGCCCCTCCCCCCTTCCCTGAATGTACAGCACCTTGTGAATTTATTTCTGTGAAAGGCGCTATATAAATAAAACTTTACTTTACTTTACTTTTACTTTATTTTGAACACACATTTGATCTTGAGAAGTCTCGTGAGAATTCCTGTCTGAATGTTCACGAGATCTGTTTATCATCTTGTGTGGACTCTCTCAGTCTTTGAAAATTTAAAGACAATTTTAAAATCTTGCTGTGTGAACCAGGCAGAAAACTAATAGTGGATTCAGATGAGAACAATCCTTCAGTGTGATATAATGAAAGGTAGCACATATAGTTGTTCTCCCTTACCACCACTCTAAGTGTCTTCTTAACACCATCATTAAGAGATGAGTCCTTAACAGCTGCTTTGACCTCAATGCTGAGTTCACCTTTCTTCATGGGAATAATGACGAAGGGCACTGATCGAGTGGTATGAGCTCCAACATTGACCTCCACTTTGTACTTTCTGCGTTTGGAGGCTGCACTGCAAACATTCTCTTCCTCCATCAAAAACACAAGAACCTTGGAAACAAAAAAGGCAAATAAAAACAGACAAAATTAACATGAAGTTCAATCCAGTAATCTATTATCTTATATATATGAGAAATAAAAAAATAAAACTACAAATGGCTCTTTACTACCCGTGACTCAGCTTCTATTGTTCATTGTAATGAGCCCTTTCAAAAGATTTTGATTGTTCGTAAATGTCACATCTCTATTATCTTCTGCTTATTCAAAGTATGGTCACAGTGCAGCAGCTTGAAAAGGGAGGCCCAGAGCTCTTTCTTTCAGCTCCTCTGGGGAAATTTTATTGTGTTCCCAGGTCAGCCGAGAGACATGGCATCTATAACTCTCCTGAATTTCCCCGCGCGGGACAATAAAGGCTGGTTCTAATGAGTCCTGGTTCTCCTCCAAATCGGACATCCCCAAAGCACCTCCGTATCGGGGACATCCAGGAGAAATCCTTTCAAGATGCCCAAACCTCCTCAACTGGCTCCTCTCAATGTAAMGGACCAGCGGTTATATTCTGAGTCTCTCCAGGATAACTGAACTTCTCACCCTAGAGCGCAACTACAATGCAGAGAAAACTCATTTCGACAGCCTGTATCCACAATCTCATTCTTTCAGTCCCTACCCAAAGTTCATAGCCATAGGTGAGGGTAGGAATGTAAATCAGTTGGAAAACAGGGAGCTTTACCTTACAGCTCAGGTTCMTCTTCACCACAACAGACTGGTACAGAGTCCGCAACATATTGGATCTCTACAATCAACCTCACGCTTCATCTTTCATTGCTTGTGAACAAAACCCCAAGATACTTTATCTCCTCCACTTGAGACAGAACCTCACCCCCAGAGCTGCTGGCGGATGGATTGAGAGAGCAATCCACCCTTTTGCAACTAAGGACAATGGACTAAGATTTGRAGGTGCTGATCTTCATCCCAGCCAATTCACACTCAGCTGCCAACCACACAAGTGAGAGCTGAAGCTCATGACACAATGACACAAACATGACCACAACATCTACAAATACAGATGGAATCAAGCGGCCACTAAATCAGAATACCTGTGTCCTCTGCACCAAGAAATTCTGTCCATAAAAGTTATGAACAGAATGGATGACAAGGGGCAGCCCTGGATGAGTCAGCAACATGAACCAAACTTTTGCACTGTTTGTATAAGGACTGAATGGCCTGTAACAATGGGCCTCATGCAAGAAAATGTTTGTATTATTATGCTAAATTTCTCTTACTTTTGTTCATACAAAGGGTTCGTACGAACATGCCACGTCAGATTCAACAAACTCTTCTATCTTCA